AAAATTAATATTTTTTGTTATACGTGACGACCACCACATATAAATTCGACCACCATGACCTAGATTTTGATGCGTACTTTAATTCTAGACAAGAATTTTGCATTTCTATAAAGCCAATTAAAAGATTAGTGCTAAGAAAAAAACTGAAAAAAACCGGTTAGGATCACGGCTTTAGGATCATCTTAAGGGGATCCTAAACTGACCCAAATTACCGACAATTGCAGGGAGGGGTCTAACTTTGAGTAAGGTAAATGTCCCTATGGCCGACACCTATAAGGCCGACCCAACAAAAAAATGGCGTTGTCAAGCGTGACGAAAATAAATTCGATAAAGAGTTTCATACTGGTGGATAGCTTCATCCATGCACTTTTCAAAAATCGTAGGTTCAATTCATTCCGTCAAGTATTTTTCTAGATAGAGAAGAATAAAGGCGCACTAGTGCGTGCCCCCTCTACCGACCAGCTGTGTCCAATTCCGACCGGGCATGTCCCCATTACCGATTACCTTTTTTCAGAGCATGCGAGGCGGAGGTTTCAAACGAAAAGTAAACATAAAAATAAACATAAATTAATGATAAACATAAAAAATACACATAAATCATAAAAAGGTATTTTATTTTAATTTGATGATATCAAACAATTAATATCAAAAAGGTTATCGCTAACTTGAACGATAAAGAGAATTCATAGATGATCAGATATGTAAAGAATAAGGAATATATATTGAACGGTTATATAATCGTAACATAATATCTCGAAATACTTTTCGTTCATATACTATGCATATTACATTTATTTATAACACAATAGATATAATTAATGTATGCTATTTAATAGATATATCTTAAATAGATGCATTGCAACCGGATGAATGTTACATAGTTATATTAGCTAACTTTCTTTACTTTGACATTTTTTTTCTTTAACTGCTCTTGCCTTTTCCTCGCCTTTTCTTTTCGTTCCAAGCGTTTCCTTTCTTTTTCAGCTTCGATGATACTGACGTTTACGTTTACGGTACTGGGGACATGCAGGCGTTTTGCTGTGTCTAACCTCGACCATCGAATAAATAAAAAAAATAACAGTTTTTGACTAATTTTTTTTTTCGAATATAGCAATCAAACTGTAACAAACCATTTAGCGCTCGAATTATTCCTTACAAAAGGATTTTGAACGAAATACGGACTATTTAGGCGACCGAAAATTCTTAACCTCACTTTTAAGAATACGCGTGGATGGTGACGTGCGGCAAGAAATGCGAAAAAAAATATATCTAACTATTGTACTTACTCTGCACGTTATAATTCTTTTGTACTGCACGAATTCCGGAATTTTTCCACTCCACTAACGAACGTGTTGTTGAATCGGCAGCCTCGTAAACAACGTTTCATGTCAAAAAGGTCGGTAGAGGGAACATGGTCGGCCATGGGGACATTTACCTTAGACTGCACAGAACTTAAAAAAGTTTATGTAGAATTGAAATACGCACGAAAACACATCGCGCGAGTGTTGATTTCAAGACAAAAATAAAAAAATTAAAAAAATACATTTTTGAGCTGTCACCTACCGTAAACGTTTGGTTAATACAGGAGTTGTACAGTTTGTATGTACAAAATAAGATACACACGCGCCATTCGTATAATGTGAACAAAGAATACCGTACATGAAAAACTATAATTAACCGTTAGTCTGTAAACCTGGGTCGTTTTCGTCCGGGCGAAAATCAAATGTAGTTGTAACTTTTGAAAACGGGTAGAGAAGGCGCCACTGCGCGTCCGTAAAAAAAGTTATACTCCCCGAGAACCCGCCTACCGAGTTTCAAGGCGCCAGTCCCCCTCCGGCCGTCGCAGCAGACACTTGAATTCTTCTCCGGACGAAAACGACCCACCTTTACAGTCAACGTTAGTCAAAACCGTAAATAATTTTTTTTTGTTTTTCCGTTTTAAAGTATTCATTGTGTCCGTAAAAGTGTCACAAAAACATTTGACCGCAAAAAAAAAATATTTTTGTTCAGTTTTTCTAGGAAATGGCGCAACGGTCGGGCGGAGGATGTTTCTCGAATATTGCGTCCTCGCGAGGAGAAGAATGTTGTGACCCTTAACTATTGACTTTTTATTGATTTTATTACTAATTTTTGAATTATTATATATTTATTACTATTTTACTACGAAATTTGGAGCTAATTATTGGCAATTTTGAGGTCGCAAACTTAAGCATTTAAGTCCAAAATAATTGCATGCAATATTTTTTTTATGAAAGCTGCATTTTTCCCCTTCGACTTCTTTTTTTATTCATTTCGATATCTTTATTTGTCTTAAAGTTATGATTTTTTGAGTGAACAAATGATTTTACCCCTAGTTGCTCCATTTTTTTAATATAAATTGTGAAAAAATTAAATTGTTTATAATTTTATGATTGATATTTCAAATTGAAGGTTTGAATTACCTTCATAAATTTTTTCAGATTTTTTGTAACACTTTAACACTTAAAAAAAACGTCGGGACGAAAACGACCCAGGTTTACAGACTAAAAGTGCCAAAAAAACGTTTACAGACTAAGGGTTAATAACGTAACAAAAAAGTTTGAGTCTTCGTTACTATTTTGTGCAAAAGCACATGCAGGTTGATAGGATAAGCAGTATTGCGTGTAGCGAGAGATGGCGCAGTGATCGAACAAAGACAGATTACTATATAGTTAAACAAGGACAGATATAGAGAAAACAGGATTAGAAATGTTGACATTATCGACATCGAGGAAGTTCGGCCTAGCTTCGCTTTAGGATCCCCTTAAACCTAGAAACATGAAATTCGGAGAGTATAACTTTTCCATGATGTTAGCACTCACTGAAAAGGAATTTTTAGAAATTCGACCCCTAATGAGGTAAAAAGAGGTAAAATGTGTTTTCACGGATTCCTCGACGGGCAACGCCGTCAAGCTTAAACTAGGTTGCTATAAATATAATTTAAAAATGTTGAAAAACTAAGACTGGTTTTTCTATATTATGTAGATAAACTACTTGACTTGTAGATTAAAATACATTATTATATTAGGTATTATACTAGCAAAAATTAAAACAACCCAGGTAACATACCTACGTTAAATGACGTATAAAACTAGTGATTACTGGTTTAATGACGTCAAGATGACCAAATAATACCTAATTTGAAACGTTTTTTTTGTGATGTAGGGTAGACCGGGGCACGTTGTCACACGGGGCACGTTGTCACATCGGCTTTATTTAAAAAACTAATAACCACAGGGCAGCACCCATCATTCCCAAAACGTGTTAATGTATACCCATCTTTGGTGTGTTTACAGTGTTGAGATTGCTCCAGTCGTGTTGACGTAAAATCAACTTAAAAGTTTTTTGCGACCGTAAGTAAAATTTTATTGTCTAATATTCAACGTACTGGACATGAAGCTTATGTTTTTTCAGAATAGACCTTTATATTATCTTAAAGTATGTACTTTTACCTACCGCGTGCAATACCTAACCTTATGAATATCTCAAACGTGTCAGCCATGAGGCTGTTTGAAGTAAAAAAATGCCCTCGGGGCACGTTGTCACGAATTTGATAGGAATCTATTGCGAATTTTCGGATGACGATAACGAGTAAAAATATTTTATGTTTAATCACCGACATGATTATAAAAAAAAATGTGTATCAATAAGTTGCGCATTCGAGTGAAATTCTTGTATTTAGATTAAGACGAAAACTTCGTGCTTTTTATACTTTTTTGAAATAAAATAAATGTTTCTGTGAAGGATTTTACTTTTTTACATTGCAGCGCACTATAATATATTGATATTTACGTTGAATACAGTTTGGATAACATTTTGTATGCAATTACATTTGATGTGACAACGTGTCCCGGTCACGGGGCACGTTATCACAAGCGACCTGTCGTTATTTATTGTTATGTAACAACTGTAGAGTAACAATCACACAAAATTCGATACTGTCCAATTGAAGCTGAGGGTTCACTCGAAATTTTGGCATATCAAAGTACTCTTAAATATTGAATGTAAAAAATACAAAAAATATTGAACCAAATGTGTGACAACGGGCCCCGGTCTACCCTACGTCTTAATGACGTTGTACAAAAACGTCATAATATCGTGATTTTTAAGTTATTTTTATAAATAAATTTTATGTATTACAATTAAAAATGTAAGATTGTTAACAGTTGTTACAGAACATTACAAACAAATTTGTATTACAAAATTAACTCTTCATAAATATCTATATATGTATATATAGGATATTCCATATCAAATCGACCTGAGTGACTCTCGACCTCTTAGATTTTGTGCGCGATTTTTTAAGTTATTTTTCCAACTCTAAAACTCAGATTTTTTTAGATTTTTTAAATAATATTTTTAAAACAAACATCGTTGGCCACAATTTAAAAATCTGAAAAAATTCTAGGTATTTTTTCCAGGCTTTTTTGAAAAAATATTGAAAAAAATTAGAAGCAGAAGTCAGTCCACTTGTATAGGTTATTGCTTGAACATTTTTATATATAACACAGGATATTTGAGAATTTTTTCAGATTTTTCCGATACAATTTTTTTTATTTTGCAAAATTTTTCAAAATAAAAAAAATCGTGTAGAACAAAAAATATAAACACATAAATTGAACCCAAGCTATCGATTGAGCCTACTCAGAACTTGATCCGTTCAGCCGTTATTGAGATTCGAAAATCTCGGGTACTCGCAACTCTCCGGCTTGCGTAAAGATACACAGGGCGGTCTCGCGCTGCGCGTGTACTTTGCGCGAGACACCGTGTCTCTTGATATAATATAATATAAATAACTAGCTCTTTCGTAAGGTCGAGTATTGCATGGAGGTCGCGCTATCGGATCTACATCTTTTGACATGAAAATGATTTATGACAAGCAATTGTTTTCTTGTCGAAATGGAGTCAAAATTATGGTAATGTGACATGTGCAAATACATTTTGTACGTTAAGTAAAAAATTCCAAATTTACAAGAGAAAAAATGCCACTAAAAAAAGATAAAGGCAAGGATGCCGAAAGTGGAAAGAAAACGTTAGAGACAAAGGGCGCCGTTATATGCCGTTTTATCAGTACGCATTCGTCAAATCTAATTTAAATAAAGATTATGTGTGAAGGTGAAGACAAACATAAATTTTATATAATATTTCAATGAAGCAGTAAGTCTCATGATAAAAATGTGAATACTATTACATTAAACAATTAGTAATTGATTGCTTCTTGGCGTATTCACATTTGAAAGAGAATTCCATAAAAAATTATTAAATATATATATATAAGTTTATTATACAATATATATCGTCTATTTTGTAGCTCCGGGACCTAAATATCAGCTTAAGACACTCGTCGGCTACAGGGATCATTGTATTTCAAGATATCGAAATCCAGCGTATACATTTGGCGGTCGTCGTGCCATCTTTGAAGTGGCGGAAAGTCCAGGGCCGAAGTACATGATCGAGGAACGCAGACCCAAGGGATTTACTTTCGGACATGCCGCAAAACGTCGCGGTAAAACGATTCTCCTTACCCGAACAATATCATTGTTACAAATTCTTTTCTCTTGCGCTTGACAGATATCGTATTCGGACCTGGTGCGAAGTATAAGTTACCGGATGTCCCTCGCGGTCCTATCTTTTCAATCAAATGGAGAACCAAATTGAGAAAAACTGGTGAAACGCCAGGACCTTACTACATCAAGCCCATAGCTGATGCGCCAGCTTTTTCTCTGTATATTCAAACTCCTTCTTCTGAGTTTTGTTTGTTTTATAATAATTTGCACATGAATTGTTTTATCGTTTGTAGAGGATTGCGTACAGCTGCGGAGAAGCCCGTAATTAGCACAGGTCCCTATTCATACAGCTTGGATGCGGTAAAACCAAGAGCACCGATGTATACTATTGCTAGTAGGCGAGCATTACAATTGATTTCCGAAGGCCCAGGTCCGATATATGCCGTCCCACCAGCCAAACCGACTCCCGCCTTTTCGTTCGGTGTAAAACACAGCGAATGTGCACCACCCTATATTACTAAATGCGACGAACAGTGCTAACAATAAAAAAGGAGTTTTTATCAAGTTATTGGACTCGTTAATGTCCATTAACGTCACTGAGTTGTCACTAATAACGGCTTGCAAATTAAATTTTTCTATTTACATGTATTTTTAATACTGACGTTCATTCTTTATTGTTTTAATAATGGATTCAATAATAAATTGGACGAGTCCAATTGTTCTTTGCAAAAAGCACCGGTTATTTCTTCCCAGTGGAGTGGTTGATCAACTTCCGGTATTCTTACAGGTTCCACTGCGATTGTTGTCACTCTCACAATACCTGCATCTTTTTTTACTTTTTCTGTAATTTGCGTCGCGGTAGGTTGATTTGTTACAGAGGAGTAGAAAATTCGTATAATTAAGTTGTATAATATTTCGATCACGTTTATAATGCTGACTCCGAGAAATAGACTGCATACGCCTCCATAATTACCTATAAAGTAAAAGGATGAAGTAACGAGAGAATAATCCTTATTTTGTGTTCGAATAGTACGTTATTTTAGGCAAATATATATGGTACATACATAAATTGTCACTGTATCAATTTTTTGTAAAAGATAACAATCTTTTTCTAATATTGCATTGATATTATATTCGTATTACTTTTTTATATGTTGAATGGCAACTTACTCATGAGGTCGTACCAATAGTAGACCACATCCTGTCGCAATCTTATCGCCTCCATCTTTCCAAAGTAAATGTATGTAATATGCTATGATTTTTTATCGAATACTTCTCTCTAAAAAATATATACGATGATTATGATTAGCGATTACGAGGATTGTACCCATGTGCAGTTTTACCTCCCCCATGATAATTCGGAAGGGATGCTACTCGATTGTACATTGTACGTAACATCAGTGCAAGATGGGAAACAGTCGCAAGTCAAATAACCGGATAATTCTTCAAATTCGAATGGCGTCATGTCATCTTCAAATCGAGGCTTCACATTTTGCCATCTTTCTAAAGCAAGGAAACCGAAAGCTAAATTGTTATTTGTTATATTTGTAGAAATATAAAGTATTTTAAAAAAACAATTTTTTTTCGCGGTACAGTATCGTCAACAAATCTTTGTATTTCAATAAGCAGGATAGGTCCTTTAAATTACAGATTCGCCAGAATGCTAAGTAAATAACGTTAACATACGTTAATATTTGATTAACGTTTTAATCAATATAAATATGTAAGTAACTTCGACGTTACCATGTTTTGTTGGATAAAAAAACGGCACGCAGTCGCATAATCGGAAGATATCTTGCATCCGGCAATGTACTATGCAGTCGCTAAACGAGTAGTAACCGTGAAATATTTTGGACTGTTTCGTTTGGAATAAGCAATCACGTTCTTGTATATTGTATTCTTCAACGTCCTACAGTAATAAAATTATATATTTAAAAATTAAGCTATTAATAGCTTTAAAAAATCGATGTAAATTATGTATATGTAGGAGAGACCGGGGCGAAGTTGTCACTATTTTTTCGGTGCCGATTTTTAACAATAAAACAAATAATTTTATTAAAATGTAGTACAAGTAGAAACTTGCACATTGCTTCCTTATAGTTTTTAAGTGTGCAAGTAGAAACCTGCACATTGCTTCCTCTATGAGGAAGCCTGTTTTTGTATTCATAATTATTAGTAGATATTTATTAATTTGGCTTCCTCATAGAGGAAACACTGCAGGTTTCTACTTGCACACTTAAAAACTATAAGGAAGCAATGTGCAAGTTTCTACTTGCTCACTTAAAAACTATGAGGAAGCAATGTACAATTTCTACTTGCACATTTAAAAACTATGAGGAAGCAATGTGCAAGTTTCTACTTGCACACTAAAAAACTATGAGGAAGCAATGTACAAGTTTCTACTTGCACACTTAAAAACTATGAGGAAGCAATGTGCAAGTTCCTACTTGCACACTTTTTTTTATGGATAAAGTATCATTAAAGATAGATTAGTATTGAATATTTGGCAATGATCGGTGAAGGGGTTACCAATTTTTTCCTAAAAAATGTACAAATCATACACGTAATCTTATATATAAGGTATCATTAAAGGGAGGTTGTTTTGAATTTGGCGAAGATTAGTGAAAGGGTTACCGATTTCTGCCTAAAAATGTATAGGGTAGATCGAGGCAAATCGGATTACTAATTAGTACGACAAAATAGCTCGTTTAAAATAAAACACTAACGAAAATTGCCATAAAACTTATATTAATCCGATTCGCTTCAATCTATCCTAAGTTATTTGATGGATAGCCGATCCTCAAAACCGATCGTCAAAAAATTTAAATTCGACGTTTTCAAACATAAGCAACACATTGGCATCGAAAACTCAAAAAACAATTTTTACTTCGGTCTTTTCTACCCCTATTTCATATATAATTCTTTTAAATTCAGTTGATTAGACTTAGCTTTATAGCGATCAAAATTATGGACCTTTGATCGCGTATAAAGCTGGGTCTAATCAACCAATGGCATCGAAAACTCAAAAAATAATTTTTACTTCGGTCTTTTTACCCCTATTTCATTTCTTTTAAATTCGGTTGATTAGACTTATTTATATGCGATCAAAATTATGGACCTTTGATCGCGTATAAAGCTGGGTCTAATCAACCAAATCTTACACAAGTTTACTAAAATTTTTATAACTTCAGAACTAATCAATCAAATCTTAACGGATTATATATGAAATAGGGGTAGAAATTACTGAAGAATTTAATAAAATTAAAAGTAGCCCAATATTTCAAAATTTGCAAAAGTTATAGCAACCACGGACATTTCTAAAAAAATTTAAAAAAAAATTTTTTTTTTAAAGAACCCCTTTACCGATCATCGCCAAATTCAATACCAACCTTCCTTGAATAATACTCTATCGATTAAAAAAAAATTCAGTCCGATATCTCAATATTTACGAAAATTAAAGCAACCACGGACATTTTAAAAAAAAATTCAAAATTTAAAAAAGAAAGAACTTTACCGATCATCGCAAAATTCAATGCCAACCTTTCTTGAATGATACTCTATCGATTAAAAAAGAAACAGCCCAATATCTTAATATTTGCCCAAGTTAGAGCAACCACGGACATCAAATCTCCACATACACACCACACACACACACACACACACACACATACGGACATGCGATTTTAATGCAATATTTCGACATTTTAGAACACTCTGAACATATTGGCATCAAAAACTCAAAAAACAATCTTTTCTTTGGTTTCTTCTACCCCTATTTCATATATAATTCATTTAAATTTGGTTGACTAAACCCAACTTTATACGCAATCAAAGGTTCATGTACAAAATTCACGAAAACAAAGCTTCCTCTATGAGGAAGCAATACCGTTGTAAAGAGTGAACCCTTGGCTACAAAATTTATAAGGGGCGAAGTCGTCACTCTATTCTCGGACTAAATTTTAAATAAAAATTCATAATTCCGATCATAAAAAATGATAAAATACATTTTATTAATTATTTTTTAATAAAAAAATTGAAACATTAATTAAGGGGGTAATACAGTCTGGCGGAGGGTCAATTTCAGGATTTATTTGTGACAAAGTGGTAGGCCAATCAGGTTCATGGTGTATACGATATTGAAGTACATGTTTAGGTGCATTTACACTATTTTTTATATGGAAAAATATTAAGAAATGTAGGAGTTATGAGTCATCTCTTCGCGCGCGCGCTCGACTACGGTGTACCTAGTAGCTCCTATGCGGCATGCCTGAAATGAAAAAAGGGTATTAAATTTAAATGTATTCCCCACAGAGTGACGTTCGAAAATTGTAAAAATGTTAAAAATTGTGAAAGTTATAGCAGAAAGTTATTTTGTGCCAATGAACTTCTTTTTGTTAAGTGCTATAACTTTCACAATTTTTAACATTTTTCGCCAGACTGTACTACCCCCTTAAAAACACGATGGCGAAAAATAATTACAAGAAAAGTGCACACACTTATGTGTCCGCTCGCACGAAATGCACTGTTTCTCGTCAGCTCTATTCTGTCATCTCTAAGCACACGCAGCACATATTATCCAAGTTTTCGCCGGAATCCGACCACTACTGCTTCTTTGACTTTGATTTTCGCCCGAAGCCTCCCCAGTCAGAAATTTAACCTTGATTCAAGGTTAATTCAACGTCGATATGGTTGACAGCTGGTTGAGTCGATAAGAAAGTCGATATTCCTGCAATATCGATCATGTCCAGTGTCGATTCAAGGTTGATTCAACGTCAAAGCGATTATAATAGCGCTGTTTTGAGTGCGCACTTATAAAATTCGATCAATTTTTAGATTTTAATCCTAAAAAATATTACGACATTGTTTATGTAAATTGTACGAAATAATTTTATGGACGTTTAAGAAATGGCGTACCGAGTCGAAATTT